AAGAGTTCACAAAAGTCATAAGGTAATGAATTACTTGGTGGAAAACAATGTCAAAGTTGTTCCAAACCCAATTTATTCACCTGATATTGCCCCCTCTGACTTTTATTTATTCGGCACGCTAAAAAAGAGAGCTGAAGGACGCGAATTCGCGAGTCCAGATGATCTTGAAAATTTTGTAAGAGAGCAATTTGAGCAATTTTCTCATGATGATTTAAAGCGTGTCTTTCAAGCCTGGATCGATCGCTGCGAACGCGTGATTGAATCCAATGGTGATTATATTTAAATAAACTTTATATATATGTAACTTGTTTATTTCTATTCGCAGTATTCAGGTTTGTGCTAAACACACCTTTGGACACCCTATATTTAAATAATTTTATCAAATGATAATTATTAACATATATTAAGAGTATGTTTAATTTTCAACATACTCTTAAAAATCCGAAATTTTAAAAAAAGTGGCAATTTTTTTAATGCTAAACCATCTTCATCTGCCATTAAATGTTTCGGATGATTTGATTTTAATTCAGTTGGGTTCTATTAGATGTAATAGTGTAAATTCTGATTCAACAATTTATCCATATATTTCTTCCAATAAACCCTATCAAAAAGAATGGTATACAAATAAAATAACTTATCAAGATGGTAAACCTAAATTCACTGTTTTGGATTCATTATCAAATGCATATGTCGGAGATTCACCATCATATCCTTGGGGACAAATCGTTTCAAAAATCAAAGAATTAAACAGAAATATTAAGAATGTATATAATTTTGGACATAAATTATTTGGATTTGAAAATAAATCTATCATTTGTTATTTGGAGGAACTCAAAGAGCGTTTTATCTCGAATAGCGATGAAGTAAAGTATCTTCAAACATATGAAACAACACCTAAATTTCAGAAATCCGCTGAAGCTTTTACAGAAATGGTAAATATGATTATAAGTGAAAAATATTTGCAAACAGATCTCAGTCAAATTAAAATCAAAATCCATCGTCTAGGGGAACAATATATTCTTAAATTTTTAGAAGCATTTATAATTGCCCGCCCCAAATTTTATGCACAGGTTATAGGTTTCTTACAAAATTTTTCATTTGACCAGGAATTATACTCAAAAGCAGGAATTTCTAAACCATTAATACAAGCAATAATTAATGGCGATAAAAGATATTCGAATATTTTTGCTTTTTCAGGAAAATCGTGTGATTTAACAATCGAAGATTTTATTAATGTTTTAATTTCAGATCAAACAAATCAAAATGGTGAAGAATATTATCAAATACGTATCAGATCTATATTGGATAATAGTAAATATTCTTTCTATGAACTAGCAGTTAAATTTGAATCAATTAATATTTTAAATTCGTGTAATATAGATAATGTTACACCAATCATGAAAGCATTGATAATGTCAAGCCCAAACGAAACAATTTTCAAAATGAATGATAAATTCAATTTGCAGACTTATCAATTTACAAACCAAATCAAGTATGTTTTATCTTTTGCATACAATATCTCAGAGTTATTTTCTACATTTAGAAATCCATTACTCTCTTCGATTGTTTCAACAAATAATATTATATCAGTAATGAATTTGAATGAAAGCAAAGTTATTCGTTTAAAGATTCATTTAATCTTCCATGAGGCCCTAATTCAAAATAATGATTTTATGTACAAGAACTTTAATGTTTTGAATCAAATAAAAAACAATGACCTTCTGGAAATTTTAGCAAAAGCTTGTTTGAAAGCTGACAAAAAAATTCAAGCAGATTTTGAACAAATCATGGGTATTAAATTTACAGCGATCAAACAATTTCATGAATCCATAGAAAAAATTCCAGTTGATCGGTCTCCAATTACAATAGATGGTTGCCATATTTGTTTTGAATGCTCTAAAAATACTGATATTGAAAAACTCAAATCAATGCAATTAATTCTAATAAGCCCTGGTATTCATATCAATGTGTTAACTTATGAACAAACATTGAAGTTTTTGGAACAAATGCCAGCATTTATTCATTTGGCCTTTCCAATATAAGTTCTGATCGATCTGTAAACTTAAATTATTTTCTACTTCAAAACGAAGATTATTCCCCTTTAAAAATTTCACATTGTATGACAAAATCGTATCCTTTGAATATTCAAAAGTATCAGATACGTTGTGGATGATTACTGTACCAAAAAACATGAAAAACATAAAATTACCCAAAGAGTTTTCAGGGAGGTTAAAATGGTACATTCAAATAACGAAAGTTGATCTCCCAGGACATCCTCTGCAAGATGAAATACAGGAAAAAATAAAGCATGATAATGAGATTGGTGATATCTTAACTTCATATCCCGGGAAATTTTATGTAAATTATAGCACAACGATAAGAAGTGATAGTTTATTCGTCAATGGAAATCCTATAGAATTTCTTATATATATTCCAAGCGAATCAGGAAATTTGGCGTTGGAGTGTAATTTAATTCACTTAGATGCTACTTTTTCATGGCCGAAATATATATTTATTTTTCCTCGTGGTAATTACTATATGCGAGGTTACCCTCTAGGGATATACATAGGGCGCAGCGAATCATCCGCTGCTTATCAACGGTGGCTTACAGCCATGAATATTGAATTTAAATCATTAAACATTATGGAGCACTTTTCAAGAATCAAATGGATGAGCGATTTAGGTACTGGAGTTTTAAAATTTTTGAATACGAATCATTTCCAAAATTATATCTGTATTAGGCACTATCTCGGAACCATGGGCAATAATACTTTACTACATGTTTTTGCTCTGATAGTATTATTATCAAAATCGGCCCAAGATTTTGAGGACAATTACAAATGTTTTGATCCATCGGTTCAGAAAATGTATGCTACAAAGAATATATCAGATGAGCAGCTGGAAAAATGGAAGCAGATATATAAAGATCAAGAGCATTTAGCAGCATACCACCGCATTCCACCTATAAGCACTAATAATAGTGCAGAGGGTAAGCATAGACACATTAACGAACTTGCAAAAAAAGCAAGAAACTTTTCTACTTTCATCAAATTCATTCTGAATGATACTATCATTAGGATTAATGAATCAATTGATCCCATTAATAAGCAAAAACGCGAGAAGAATGACTTGTTAAACGAAAAATGCATACATTGCGGATTCTCCTATAATGATATTAATACTGATAAGAATCCTTGTAAATATTGCAAGGATTTCTTTATGAATAAGAGTCATGTTCCCTCTGCAGGCATACATGTTATGAAAATAGGAGAAAACGTAGGTGAAATCATAGAATTCCCAATCGATAAAAATGTAGGTGATCAGGATGAACTCGTGGATCACAAAGAAAAGAGTTCGCCGATCGAAATATCAAAATACGCAGAATTTATTGATATTGACGATAAAAATAAAGCAGTTTTAGTCGTAAAACTGCTTTATAATCTTGAAACGTTCCAAGATGCCAAAGATTTAATCAATTCTCTGGAAAAACAATCAAAAAATTATGAATCTGCATTACAAAATAAACCAGAAATTTGGTTGGAAAAATACTTGCCTGAATTAATGAAGGAAGTAAAAGATGCGAGAGCTGCTAGAATGAGATTGAAGATAATAAAGAAGTAGAGATGATGAGTGAATAAAAATTTTGTATTAAATTTGTATATAAAAGAATTGTAAAATATAAAAATAAAGAAGTGGTTGATAGGAATTTGAAAATTCGTTGGGTGCATATAAGTTTGATAAATATATTTATGAATATTAATGTCAAATTGGGTGGTTGCATATAGTAATGAAAAATATATTAATAAAAATTAATGTCAAATTGGTTGGTTGCATATAGTAATGAAAATAAGATTAATAAAAATTAATGTCAAATTGGGTGGATTCGTGATAGAATGCTTCTGTCTATGTGTGGCGTGAGTTAGCATCGGGTGGTTGCGTGATAGAATGCTTCTGTCTATGTGTGGCGTGAGTTAGCATCGGGTGGTTGCGTGATAGAATGCTTCTGTCTATGTGTGGCGTGAGTTAGCATCGGGTGGTTGCGTGATAGAATGCTTCTGTCTATGTGTGGCGTGAGTTAGCATCGGGTGGTTGCGTGATAGAATGCTTCTGTCTATGTGTGGCGTGAGTTAGCATCGGGTGGTTTCATCACAAATTTTAACCCATCCAAATCTTATTAATTATTAAAATTCTTTTACAATTTCTGATGTATTTTTTGAAAACATTTCATATGCAATATTTCTCCTTTTCTTTCCTCAAATCTTCAAATATTAATAACTTTGGATATGAAATTATTTGGATCTTTTATGAATTTTAAATGTCTTTCTTAATATCAAATCGATTAAATTATTAATATTTTCTAAATTATGCCTTAAAAATCCAAATATAAAAAATCGTAAATAAAAAATATATTTTTTATTTTTATTTTGTAAATAATCCGTTTACTAAATGGGACTGTATCATGAAAGTAACAAAAATCATTATTTAACAAGATTCAAAACTGGTGCAACGAAATGCACATTGATTTTGTAGTGTAACAAAGAGAGATTTATTGTAAAAAGTACAAAATAGTATATTTATTATCGTGATTAGCGTAGAAATGTATGAGTTTGGGACGGATTTCTGGTGCATTCATAACTAAAGTGATACATTGTCTGGAGCAAGTTCAGATCTTTAACTTATGGCTTGTTTGGTGCTAACTCACCCAATTTAAGTGCACTAGAGGGGATTTTGTCTGTAATGAGCATGCACCTTGAGTTGTTGCTTGGTCCGTGTACGAAAGATAGTAATTTAATACTATACTCGATTAAATGTGAATTTCTAATTTTGAATTTGCGTTTTTTCCTGAAAATAGTTACAATATATGAAAGAGTTGGCAAAACTAGAGGACACGTCTTTAAGGGTTTGGCTCGTGCTTCATGTTAATATGCCGAAACTAAAATAAACGTATATTGGGGGTCGAAAATTGAGAGCTCATATCTTTAAGTGCATGTATTGCAATAATGGCTTTGTTCCTTTACAGAAGGACACATAGAGAGGAATCAACTGATATTGAAGAAAGTCTTGAAACTGATCCTGAAATAGTTAATGAGAAAGAAAACTTTACTCAAACTACTTATGAAATTGATAATACAGAGATTGCTGGTGACGGTAATCCTGATATTAATCAAGAAGAAATGGTTATTTCGGACGAAGGTGGTGTTCCAAATGAAGATGATGCGTTTTTACACGCAGACTTTTAAAATTTTATTATTGTAATAAAGCTAAAGTACTCACAAAATCTAGATTGAGAGGCGGTCAATGACTTTTGAGGGGAAATTAACGCATGGAATTTAATATTATTTAGGTTGATATTCTTGCTTATTATTTCAGAAAATAATCTTAAAAATTTCAATATGAAAATTGAAAGCAATTCAAAAAAATTGCTAACGTGTAAATTTTAATATCCTATGCATAATTTCATATTTTGAACATTTTTTATTTTTGTTTAAAACTTAAAATTTTGCGAATTTAATATAATTTATAAAATATAATACGTATATATATTTAAAATACACTAAATTTAATTGTTAATTGACGTTTTTGGAAATGAATTTTATCAAAACATGCCTGAATCCGAAAATTTGAAAGAACGAATTACACAATCATATATGTAGAATTCAAAATACAAACTTAAAGATTGTATACGTTTAAAATTATTCAGATTGTGTTTGATTTCCACTCATTCTGTTTCTTTTGAACTCTAACACTAACATTTCATGATGATTACATGATCCATTTATACATGTTTGAATTGTTCCAGATTCTACCAGAAAATCAATCCAAATTTCTCAATGCATTCATGTTGATTGGACAAAATTTAAAATTTATCAGCCTGTTTCCAGAGAAACTCATATATTCCCTAATGAAATGTAATTTTTGCTACATTTATTTCAATCAAATTTCAAAAAATTGACTGCAGAGCTTGAAAAGGTGATGAATCATGTTGTTATTAGATGTACATATTAGATTTACTATTTCCAAAAAAACGCTCAAATTTGAATAGTTTTTAGAAAATTTGGAATTACACTCCTTACATTATATATAATTAAATGTTTAAATTTTATTTATTTTTCCCTTTTAATTTTATAACATGCTCTATCAAAACTAACCTCTCAATTGAAGACCACAAAATCTAAGTAGTGAGGGTACACAAATTTTGTATGGAGTACGGTTCAATTTTTGAGAGCCTCACTACTTAGATTTTGTGACTACCTTATTTCATTTTCTAATCTTTATAAAGTTATTTTCTGAGCTACTTTTTTCTTAAAGACAGGGATAATTACTTGAATTAAACATCAATTTATGTTAATTATTGTTCCTGGGAAAATGAATTATTATATTTGTTGACAAAAATGAAGCATTTTAAATTTTAATCTTCAGGTGTTTCATTACTGTGGAAGTATATTATAATGTGTCGAAGCGAAACAAATTTCTTAATTTTTTTCGATAACAAAAATTGAATCTGTTGTTTGATCGAAATTAAATGCTAGGAGTTTCTAAAAACTAGGAAAGAAACTACACATTTATCAAGAAAAAACTCATAAACAAATTTGGAAAATTTCAAATTTCGCATTAAAAGGCGAAAGGTCTATAAGTAGAATAGTATACACATCCAATATTCTAACTTAGATCTTCTTTAGAATATGCCGATTAATCCAACAGTTCATCAAAATGATGAATTTAAGACTCTATCTCCGCAGTAATGCCAAAATATTGTACACATACATTTTTGCATTAATATTTCTGACAAATAACCTATATCGAATTCCGGAATACCTCAATACAGCAATACAATTATAAATATTCATCTAAATTATTGTGTTCTATCTATGTAAATATATAATTGCATTATGAAGTTTAAAAATAAAGAAAATTTCTCAAAAATAAATAAAATTACAGTAACATTATTTTAAATATGAGTTCAATACATTTTTATGATTCTACCATAAGAATAAAAACGTTTATTGGAAAATTATGGAGTTGATTTAACATTATATTCTTACAAGTCTTTAAATCATGTGGAGGATAAATGTATGTTATATTTTCTTTTTGGAAAGTAGTTTCCGAAAAATTCGTTCCTAAAAATTTAATTTTTTCTTGTCTTGGATGACGGAAAACCGTAATGTTTTTGATACTATTGCATTTTAGAAAAGCAGCGGATTCAAAATAGACAACAGATTCTGGAATAACTAAGAAATTTAAATTTTTTGTATCGGTAAAACATGAAAATAAGCATCTGATAACTGTATTAGGGATTGTGTAAAACTGTTCAGCTTTGGAAGCTGGATAATGAACTAACTTATCTTTGTTTTTAGTGAATAAGACTCCATCCTCTGAGCAAAAGTAGGGATTCTTGATATCAACATCAAAGGCTTTTAAAGTTGTCAAACTATCAAATGAGTTTGCTGGGAATAATGTCTTAACTTTTTTTGGTAAAAAGATGTATTCGATTTTTGTGAGGTAGAAAGGTTCTTCACCAAGTTCTAATCTTGATTCTGCGAGTGTGATATTGATGAGATTAATAAATTTGGAAAAGCAATGTCTTGGAACGTATTCAAAGCCCTCTCCAATAGTAATATTGACATAATTTGCATAATCTTTAACAGAATCCGGAATAGAAACAGTTTTATTTGATCCGAATTCAATATATAAACTACTCGTAATTAATCAATGCTATTGCGACAAAAAATAATGAAAGGTGACAAATAAGTTGTTCATCCTGAAGGCGATGAGAAAAGACATGATTGGATTTAATTACAAAGCAAACCTTGAGTTTTTAATCAAGGGGTTTCTCCCCCTGTTAAATTTTATAAAGATTTTATTTGAATGAAACAATTGGTATCAGCTGAAATTCGTTTACGCACAAGTAAATCACTATGATGATCTCCCAAATGATGTATGGAAGAAATTTTTCAATAGTAATCCCTCCAATCATTATACAAAATGCGAAAATTGCAAAGTAAACTATAAAAACAACGAATGTTTTGTATACAAAAGTGCATTTATTGATCTAACCAATAGAGCTATCACATTTGAATCCGTTTCATCTCTAAAATTCTTACACTCGAATACTTTTTTTCGAAATTGTTCAATGACCACCGATGGTGATGGTGGATCAGTTCACTTTACAGGCTCTGGTACCATAGTTCAGCATCAATTCTGCTGCTATGGCAGTATGTTAAAATCCATTTTAGGAGTGTACTCTTATACTTTCCTCGATTCATCGTCGTTTTCGTACTTAGTTGAAAGTTCATTGTACAATTGCGGAAAGCCAGACGTCGGAGATAGTTCAATAAGAATTTCGAAAGGAACCGCAGGTTTAACTTATTGTAATGCAAGCAGAAATACTTTAATAGGAAATACTGTTTATTGTATTCTTTCCATGGATTTTCAGACTAAAGTTAATTTTTCATCTTTTCATGGAAATATTGCAACACCTGTTGATTCAATAATTCAAAATTATCAGTCTATTGATTATAAGTATTGCAATGTCATGAATAATGTTCAAGTTGGTACAAGCAGAGGAATTATTACAGTAATTTACGGAGATCTCGAAATGAATTCTTGCTCCATTATAAATAACACATGTAATGGAAAAGTTTTATTCTGTGAAAATTCGGTTTTTACTATAAAAAATTGTTATTGTGATTCAACAACTTCATCATATAGCGTGACAGTTGTTGCCCCAATGGCATATTTTAAGAATTCTCTTGATGACATTGGAATCCGTGTCTGCTGGAAGTATCATAAGTTTTCTGACATTGAATTTTATAAATTCATTGGAATTTCTTGCACTTCTAGTGAAGTTATGCTAGGATTTGACTAGTAACAGTTTCTCTCAACTTTTTTTTTGAAATTTTTCTTGGTTTGAAGGATGCCTTATGAAGTGAGATGACGTGATTTCGTATATTGCTTATTACTTCATATGTGGTATGGGATATTAATATTATTGAAAAATAAATTAGTATTTTTTCTGAGTCGGTCAAATATACTCAGAATAATTTTTATTTTATATATCTAAGGCTACATGTCTTATATAAAATTTTTAAAAAATTGCAAAAATAAGTTTCATGTCTTATGTAAAATTTTTCATTTTTAAAAATGAACTGTACAAATTCTGATCCATCTGTCTATATAAATGGCATGCAGCAAATAATAGCCATATGTAAGGGTCGTGGAATTCCCGAAATTGCAGAGCGTTTAAAGCAAGTCAAAGATAAATTTACACCTGAGTTTATTACACAATTTCAACCTGAAACAGCATTAATTATGCAATCATTTCAAGGGATTCAAAACTTTAAAGGAAAATTTTCTAAGAAAAATCCAAAATTCATTGCATTTCTAAATCAAATTGAAGAAATGATAGATTCAATTAGCATATTCACCAATTTCATAACTTTGATCAAAGGAAAGAGATATGAATTCGAAATGGCTGAGATATTTAGAAGACTTTTTAAAATGTCTTTTCATCCTCCTCAAGATGATAATAGTTATGAAACATTGGTTTATCCTGTTTATAACATATTTTTCGATTTTTTTAATATGAATTCGAATATAATAAACTTCAAAAGTTCAACAGGAAGTGGAAAAACGAGATGTGCACCTTTCATGTTTTCGATACTTTCTTATTATGAAGAACTCAAGATGCCTTTCTTCATAATGACACAACCAGGAAAAACAATCATTGATGACAAAGTTGAAGACTTCACCAATTTCTTTGGTGACACAGTTATTTTAGAAACAGATCCCAAGAAATACTTAGAATATTACAAACAGCAAAACATAACAAAACCCATCATTGGTTTGTTCTCTCCTCGTTCTCTTTTAGTTCTTATTTCAAAATCCTTCAAAAAACACATCAAAATATTCGATCGAACAAGATTTTGTCTTGATGAAATCCATGAAAGAGATTGTCACACAGATGCAGTTATATCAGAATTAGCTGAGAATTGCCCTAAATATAAGATCAAGAAACACATAATGATGATGTCTGCAACTCCGGATAATCGAATATTTGATGTATTTCGAGAAGATGGAATTGAAATCAAAGAATTACATCTTAAAGAAAAATGTTTATTCCCTATCAAGGATGTAATTGTCAAAGTAGACAATGTTAATAATATTGCAACCACGGCGGTTAATAATGCAATCCAAATCATTGATAATATGACAACAAACACATCAATACAAGGTCATATCTTAATATTTTCATCTGGAAGACAAAGAATTCTTGAGATTTATGACTTATTTTTATCAAGTATCAAAGAATTTATCAGTAATGAAAAAAAGCGAGAAGAAGAAAAAAGGCGTGAATTCAATGAAAAAAGAAAAGGTAAAAAGAAAAAACAAAAAGAACAGACACCAGAGTTTTTATTTCAGAAAGTTGGAATTCTTTTAGACTGCGAAGAAGCATTGAATGATGAACAGAAATTTTATCAGTACATAAAAGAGAATGTCACTGATAAAAACAAGCTTTACATTCTTCCAATTCCATTTCTCAGCTATGTTTCGAACTTCCAGAAACACATTGCAAAAAGCAATATTCCGAACTATGACAATATAATCAAAGTTGTCATTGCTACAAATGCAATTGAATCTTCAATAACAATTGATAATATGGCAGCTGTTATTGATTGCGGCATTTGTAATACTCCAGAGTTCAACTCTTTGACAGGAATTATAAATCTTAAAGAATCTCAAATCACAAAGCAAAATCAAATGCAAAGAAGAGGAAGAGTTGGTCGTGTCATGCCTGGAACAGCAGTTCAAATTACTGTTGAAGGAGAAATTATCCCAGATTATCAAGAACCAGAAATATTAACAAGTGACATATCTGCTTTCATTTTAGATCTTCGAAGAATTGGTATAAGATTTGAAAATCTTAAGAAATTGCCAAATGAAGTTCCATTAGAAACAGTACAATCAAAGATCAATATATTAAAGAATATTGGTGCTTTGGATTTAACAACAGGAAATCTCACAAAGAAAGGATTGAAATTATCATCGTTCAGAAACTTTTCTCCATTTATTTCTGCATCAATAATGAATCTTTCAAATAAATATTATGAAGGAAATTACATTCCAATGATTCTTGCAGCATTAGTTATTAAGTTGATATCAGGAGAAATCATTCAAAATAACTTATCGAAGATGTTTGTTAAAAACTTTAATGTCGAATCAGATGTTGACACAATCATGAAAACATTTATTGAAATGGTCAACACAAGAAAGAAAATCAAAGATGTCGCATTAGAATATGGTTTCATTCCAAAGAAGGCTACTCAAATCGTTGGTGAGATTTTCGAACTATGCCAAATGCTTGAAAAAGGAAAGAAAGATGAATTATGGCCAAGTCTCACCAAATTCTATTCAGATTGTCAATTTGTCCATGTTTTTTGTTCAAGATTATTTGAAGAGATACGAAGTAACTCAGAAAATGGAATTTGGATCATTGCAAGAAAGGCAGAATTGGATCTTGTATCAAATACGCTTTTTGAACCAGAATTTAGATTCAAAGCTGATAAATGTCTTGCTTTTAATTCAAATGAAGGTTACATTGTTACAAGATCAAGACCAGGATCTTTTAGTTTCAACATTCCATCAAATGTATTAATTCTTAATATTGCAAGAAATGCTAATTTGAAAATTAACTTTGGAAGCATTATTCATATCGATCTCACACAAGTACAAAATTACAAACCATTTGCAATTAATATTCCTAATTTTTATAATACACCATTTTTAATACCGATGTTGAATGGTTTTGTATCAAAATATCAAAATTACATGTTGAAATTCAATCAAATTGGAAGTGCATTGAAAGCAAAAGAAAGTGACATTTGTTTTGCTTTTTCATCACTTCTCAATAACAAAGAAATTTGTTTGAATTCATTCATTAAAGCTGACAAATATGAAAAAGTAGAAATGAAGATTCGTGAAGGAATCCAAATTGTTCAAGATTTAGCACCTTTTACACCACAAACAATTCTCGTCATTCATCCATACATGAAATGCTGTTGTGCACTAAAAGGATATGGAATTGATAAGATTGATAATGATATCATTTCATTTGATGAACCAGAATACAAAGCATACCATGTCAATGAAAACACACTCAGATATATGCACTCGAAAATATCTGAACTTAGTAAACAGTCTAGTACATGTTCAATTGCTATCACAGGTGAAGATATGTCATTTTCATTTGATCAAACCGTTAAATTTGAAGGAAACAAGAAATTTGTTTCATTCCCACATACAAATCAAAAATGCAACTCTGTTTTTAGTATTCAAAAAGACTTTTCACATCTTGTCATCATATCTAAAGAAGAAATTTGTTTGGAACAAAGTCTTACTTGGCAAAATGTTCAGAACTATCAACAAGCCACAATTGGTGACATATCTGCATCAAATTATGAAAATATCTTTCCAAATGGAGTTAAAATCTTCTACAATCCATGGATCAACTTCTATCCAGATACATATTTAATTAAATATATCCAAAAGAAAAAAGTTGAAGAAGAATATGATGACTTAGATGAAGACTCGAAATCATCCTTTAAAATTATCAATATTATTGACTTTTATGCAAATCAATGTGTGCACGGTGAAAAATTGATCAAAGATGTTGAATTTGAGCTACAAGATGTATTAGGAAAATGTAATTTTGGAAAAGCAATTGGATTAAGATCACATTTAATGAAAACTAAACAGTTGCCATCTCTTGAAAAGCTCAAATCAATTAAAAATGTAATTGAAGATGCACTTATGGCTCCATTTTCATTAATACCAGATCTCAGATCATTAAATATTGATAAAAGACTCCACAACCTTTCGATTGTTTATCAACAAATTGCATTAGCAAAATTATTTAATCTCAAATTTGCACATAGCGTGAAATTCCTCAAAAACTGCATCACAATTAAAATCAAGAATACAGAAAATAATGATGAAAATATTGCGAAGATTTCAAAGATTTTGAGGTCATTTAATGTTCACAATCAAGAAATTCTTCCGACATATGAAGTTTATATCAAACATTTGTCTGTGTACAAGTTGTCGGAAGAAGAATTTACGGAAAAAGTTCATTCAGTTCTTGATCATTTTGGAGGTACAATTTTCGAAGTATCAAAATATTATGAGTCAAAGACCAAAAATTCTCATGAAAAAGGTATAATTATTGCAACTGTTTGTTCTAAAGAATTCCTTCAGCCACTCATTACAATGTTAAGAGATCAATTTTCAAATGAAATTATCCTTAACATTCCAGAAACAGTCATTCCAAGTTATTTGACAAGATACAGAGAAGTTTTAAACGCTTGACAAAATATTTTGAAGCGAAAAAGATTCCAATTAAGAACATCAATTGTGATTTCTATGGAACAAAAAATGATGTTGAAAGAGCTGAACAAGAATTACTCAATGATCCACCACATCTTCCAATTACTATAGTCAACATCACACCTGACATCAATACAAAATCCCTTGAAATTGCACTCAGGACACAATCAGTTCCATGGAAATTCAACAAGAGAAACAAAATTCTCATTGTTCCTGAAGATGTCAAACAGGAAACAATCATGGAATTCATTGAAAAATATGGAAGAAAAGATTTATTAATTTCTAAGAATAGCTTTGATATACCAAATTGTTTTGGCGATGATATTTTGTGCCATGGAGATCAGGCATTACAATCAAATGAAAGCATCAATCTTTATTTCCCTAATAAATCCATTGTTTCAAGACCAGTCTGCCTTCAATGCGCAAAGGAAACAATTGCGTTCAATCTTGGAAGAATTGTTGATCAAAATGGTCATGTCAATGTTTCAAGAGCAATTGAAAATTCCGAGCACATTGATATATATTCATTCTATGAACCAACAGCAGAAACAGATAAGAAGAATGGAATCTGGCCAACTACACCATTTGGTCATTTAATTTGGATTTTATTATCATCAACCATTTCTAAAAAAGAAACGAAGGCATATATCACAGCATTGGCAGCATTGGCATTCCACAAATCACCAATGTTCACTTATTGTCCAAATCATCCTGATGTTTTTATCAAGATAAATCAATATGGTATGACATGCTGCCAACAAAAGAATTGTAATATGATCAAATGCAATTCATGTGGTAAATGGCATCCAGCAGGAAAATGTGAAAATCTCGAAATACCAGCTGGGTGTAGACAATGTCCTTTCTGTCAGAATATCGTTGAAAAGTCGCAAGATTGTAATCACATCAAATGCTCGTGTGGTAAACATTTTTGTTACTATTGCGGCAAGGGATTTGACACTGATGGTGAAGTTTATAACCACATGAATACTGCAGATCATATCTATGATCCACCAGACTATTTGAAGTTTGTCTTGCATCAGAATATTCCTGAAGCAAATCTCCGAGAATTCTATAATAAGTTTCCAATTTTTAGAACATATATTTATCGTCCTTAATTAATATAATAATAAATGTTTGTTTTATTGTTTAATGTTGAAATTTACGAAGTTTCAATCAAAAAGACTTTTTAATTAAACTAATATTAAATTTTTACTTATAATATAGATTTATACGGATTGTAGTGCTTTATTTAACTTTATCATTCAAATGCATATATTTATTATTGATATTTTGAAATATCCTCACAATAAAAAAGATTTTGGATTATTCAAAAAGTGATCTAAGACATGAAATATTCAAAAAAATTATTAAAAGATATTGGAAGTTACAGATGGCATATGTATGAGTAGTTATGTATTCTATATAAATTCATTGCCTTGATCGACAAATTAAGATTTAATTTTTAAAATTTATTAATTCGTGAAGAAACTAGGACATCATCAATGCTATGAAGATTTAATGATAATGAGATATATTCCTACCATGAAAAAAAAATGAAAGGGCACTTTTTCATCACGTCTTGAAATCCCGTCTTACCATGTTTTTGTATGATTTAGTCTCTCGTAAATTTTTTATCCTGATTTATCATAAAATTTTTAAAAATTAATATTTCAAGCTCTCAAAAATTATTTTTGTATTATGGAACAAACCAGCGCAATTTATGAGGGTATGCTTCAATCAATTGCGCAGTTAGAGGTTTGTTACTATAAAAACAGTTTCAGAGGCGGAATAAATGATATTCACGATATCAAGAAAAAGATTTCGAAAGATTTGGTTGAACGATTTGAACCTGAATTTCAATTAATTCAACAATCAATAAGGAATCTATGCAACTTTCATGGTGACTTTAATGACAAGGATCAACTTTTTAAGATCTACAAAGACCATGTAAAAACTATCAAAAAATCTATTGAGATTTTTCTTGAATTCATAAAAATGATCAAAGGAAAGAGATATGAATACGAAATGGCCGAGATATTTAGAAGACTTTTCAAAATGTCTTTTCATCCTCCCGAAGATAATAATATCTACGAAACATTGGTTTATCCTGTTTATAACATATTTTTCGATTTCTTTAATATGAATTCGAATATAATAAACTTCAAAAGTTCAACAGGAAGTGGAAAAACGAGATGTGCACCTTTCATGTTTTCGATACTTTCTTATTATGAAGAACTCAAGATGCCTTTCTTCATAATGACACAACCAGGAAAAACAATCATTGATGACAAAGTTGAAGACTTCACCAATTTCTTTGGTGACACAGTTATTTTAGAAACAGATCCCAAGAAATACTTAGAATATTACAAACAGCAAAACATAACAAAACCCATCATTGGTTTGTTCTCTCCTCGTTCTCTTTTAGTTCTTATTTCAAAAGCCAACAAAAAACACATCAAAATATTCAACAGAACAAGATTTTGTCTTGATGAAATCCATGAAAGAGATAACTATACAGATGTTGTAATCTCTAGGCTTGCCGAGAATTGTCCTCCTTTTAAGATCAACAAGCACATCATGATGATGTCAGCAACTCCTGATGATAGAATATTTAAAGTTTTTAACAGAAATGGATACAAAAAAGGAGACTTGATATTAACTGACAAATGTTTGTTTCCAATCAAAGACATTTCCATAACTGTAAAGAATACCAATGAAACAGGTAATGAAGCAGTGAAGAATACAATTACAATCATTGACAACATGGCCAATAATAAATCATTGCAAGGACACATTTTGATTTTCACTTCCGGAAGACAAAGGATCTTAGACATTCACAGACAACTCATCGTTGAACTTAAAGAACACAAAAGAAAAGTTCAAAAAGTTAGATTACTCTTATACGCAGAAAATGTAATGAGTGATGAACAAAGCTTCATGAACTACCTGAAAGAGAATGCATCTGATAGTGATAAGCTCTATATACTTCCTATTCCATTCATTAGTTATGTTCCTCCATATCAAAAGAAAATTGCAAAAGGCAATATACCGAACTATAATAATATTATCAAAGTTGTCATTGCAACAAATGCCATTGAATCATCAATTACAATAGATAAAATGGCTGCTGTAATTGATTGTGGAGTCATGAATATTCCTGATACTAATTCATCAATTGGAGTCACAAATCTTAAGGAATCTCCAATCACAAGGCAAAACCAACTTCAGAGAAGAGGAAGAGTTGGTAGAGTAATGCCAGGAACAGCTGTTCAAATCACAGTTGAAGGAAAGAAAATTCCAGAATATCAAGACCCAGAAATATTAAAGAGTGATATTTCTTCTTTTGTTCTTGATCTCAGAAGAATTGGAATTAGATTTGAAACGCTTTATAAACTTCCAGATAAAGTTTCAAAAGAAAAAGTCAATTCAATCATTAATATGTTGAAGAATATTGGTGCATTAAATCAAGCCACAGGAAATCTTACAAATGATGGATTTATGTTATCATCATTCAGAAACTTTTCTCCGTTTATTTCAGCATCAATTTTGAATCTTTCAAGAAATTACTACGATGGCGAAGTTACACCAATGTTGCTTGCAGCTTTGTCCTTAAAACTAATATCAGATGATATTATTTTAAATAATTTATGTCCAAAATTTGTCCAAAACTTTAATTACGAATCTGACCTGGACACAATCATGAAAACATTCATTGAAATGGTACTTAAAAGAAGAAAGATTGCTGAAATTGCTCCAGATTTTGGATTCCATCCAAAGAAGGCTACACAGATTGTTGGAGAAATATTTGATCTTTCAGAAACATTGGATATAGGTGATACCGAAGATTTGTGGACAAATATTGACGAGTTTTATCAAAACTGTGATTTTGTTCATACTTTTTGTCAAAGATTATTTGATGAAATCGAAAAGAATTCCGAAAATGGTGCATGGATAACTGCCAGGAAAGCACAATTAGATATGATTTCGAATACCAAGTTGGAGCCTGAATTTAGATTCAAAGCAGATGAATGTCATTCATTTGAAGAAACGGAGAAACTTGATGAAAGCAACAAATTTGCCGAATATATACCATCATATGACAAAGAAAAACAAGAAAGCTACATTATTACAAAATCACGTCCTGGTTCATATAGTTTTAACGTTCCATCAAACGTATTGATATTGAATATTCAACGTAATGCAAATCTTAAAATGAACTATGGAACTATCATTCATATAGATCAAAGGGCAGAACAAAAATACAAACCATTTTCTATAAACATCAATTCGTCATTTGATACTCCATTTTTCATTCCGATGATGAATGGATTTGTTTCTTATTATTACAAATTGATGTTGAAATTCAACTTGATTGGAAAAGCATCAAAATGTAAAAATGGAAGCTCTTTCTTTGGATTTTCATCTCTCAATAACAACAAGGAAATTTGCATGAACGCATTTCCCGCAACTAAAAAATATGATGAAATTGTTAGTAAAATTAATGAAGGAATAAAATTGGTACGTGATTTGGCACCATTCACACCACAAACAATTCTTATCAAGCATCCAACAATGGAATATTGTTGCTCTCTAAAAGGTTACGGAATTGACAAAATCGATTATGATGTCATTTCCTTCAATGAACCATCATTCAATGCTTATCATGTTAACGAAGCATCGATCAAATATATTCATTCTAAAATTGAGGAACTCAGTAAACATTCAAGCATTTGCACAATCGCTATTACAGGAGAAGATATGTCATTTTCAGATGATAAAGATGATATTGTTGATGAAGATCAAAAGAAAGAAAAGAAAAAGAAAAAATTTGTTTCCTTTCCACATACTTTTGCAAAATGTGATTCAGTTTTCAGCAAGCCAAAGGATTATTCACATTTGGTAATAATTTCAAAAAAAATTATACCCAAAGCAGAAAGAATTACATGGAAAGTAAACAAACCTCCAGAAAAATGTACTCCAGATCCTAATTCCACAAAACAATGGGAGGATATCTTTCCAAATGCAGTTTGTGTTAATAAAACACCATGGGTTTTATTTTACCCCCAGAGATATGCCATTGAATATCGTTCAACAAAAGATATTCCAAATATTCCAAATCGAAGAAATCAAATTATCAAATTATTAGAATTCGCTCCAATAATTGAAGAATTCAGCAAGAAATGTGTAGATGGACAAAATCTTATCAATGATGTTAATCTAGAAATTACAATTACAGGCACTCTTGATTATGATAAAGTAATTGAATTAAAATCATCCTTAGTCAAGGCCAATCAAATGCCAACAATTCATCAATTAAATGAACTTAAAATAATGTTGGAGGAAGATCCTGATTTGTACACTGAAATCGCAAGGTATCATAATATTGATGTAAGGCTTTTGGAAATCCGAAACGTTAATAAATTGCTTGCTTTGGATAAAATCACTAAATTTAAACAAATTCAATCCATCCAATTCATTAAAAATTGCGCAACATTTAAAATTCCTAGTACTGATGATTTATCGAGTGAATTCCTCAAATTCATGAAGACTTTCAAAGTTTCAAGGCATGAAATTCTTTCAACTTATGAAGTTCAAATTAAAAACTTGAACTCGTTCAACCTACAAAAAGATGAATTTATGAAAAAAGTTCAATCTGTTTTAGAGCATTTTAATGGAGTGATCTTCAAAGTATCGAAGTCTAATAGAGATTTTGAAAATGGATCAGTAACAGTAACAGTTCCAAAGGAATTTCTTGAACCATTAATTGCAATGCTGCGTAACAAGATTTCAAACAAATTTATTTTGAAAATTCCTGAAGAAATAGTTCCAAGCTATTTGTTGAATTATCGAGAAGTACTTAATTCATTATCAAAGTACTTTGAATCCAAGAAAATAAATTTGATAAATGATGATTATGATTTCTGTGGATTTTTGGAAGATGTTGAGCGTGCAGAGAAAGTATTATTCGAGGATCCTCCAAAACTTCCGGTATACTCTGTCAAAATTCCACCAGATTGCAATATAAAATCCCTTGAAATTGCCATCAAGGTCAAAACAGTTTCTATCAACTTGACAAAAGATTCAATTTCCTTATCGTTCCAATAGAAGAAGATCAAGAAACAGTTAACACTTTCATTGATAGATTTGGAACACGTGGTATATTTGTTGGAAAAAGAGGAGTTCCTGAATGTTTTGGTGATGATGTTTTGATGCATAATGATCCAACACTTCATTCAAACGAAAGCGTTAATATTTATTTCCCAGAAAAATACATCGTTTCAAGACCAATTTGTCTTCGATGTGCAAAAGAATCAATTGCATACAATCTTGGAAAGATTATTGACTTGAAAGGAAATATCAATATTCCAAGAGCTCTTACAAACGTGGATCATATTGGCATATACTCGTTTTATGATTTCCGAAACAAATATGATCAATCTCAAGGAATCTGGCCAATTACTCCATTAGGTCATTTGATTTGGATTTTATTGTCATCACCAATATCCAAAAGAGAAACGAAAGCATACATAACCGCTCTCGCATCTCTTGCATTTCACAAATGTCCAATATTCACTTATTGTCCGAACCACCCAGAGAAGTTGATATTTAAACAGAAGTTCACAGAAATGCATTGTCTTAAAAAGACCTGTAATATGATCTTGTGTGTTCATTGCGGTCAATGGCATCCTGAAGGTAAATGCGAAGGTAATGATATACCATTGGGTTGCAGACAATGTCCATTCTGTGATACTATTGTTAAAAAATCAAATTATGTAATCATATTTCCTGCTCTTGTGGAAAACATTTCTGCTACTATTGCGGAAAAGGATTTGACGAAGGAGGTGATGTTTACCGGCATATGGATAGTGCAAAACATAATGATGATCCACCAGATTATCAGAAATTTGTCCAACATAAGAGTGTTTCAGATGAAACACTTGGAAAATTTTATAATGAATTTCCTGATATAAGGAAATTCATCAAACATTAATAACTTGTATAATTTTTTAAATTTTTGTTAACCATAAACTTATATTATATTATATTATATCTGTTAACTTTTTTACATATTTCGGAATTGAATTGTTCAATTTAGAGTAATTAAGCGAAATTCACTATGTTTTGTATGTAGAAATTATAGTATATATATAAATATGATGTTTTATGCCATGAAATTATGAATTTTGACTCAGATTTCGCAAATTCTATTGTCATAATTCTGCCAAGAGTAAATAATTTTGAGCCGATGTTGGCATACTATATAAATATCATTGTGTTATGTTTTCGTAAGATAGAAAGTTTTAAAAATTATCGTCCCAAAAAGTAGTATATATGACGGGTTGTGTGACTTTTTTTGTAAACGTAAGAATTCATACAATATTGAACGATTTTGTATCATTTTTTTAACATATGAAGTAAAAAAATGTATGATTCTTACGGTTTTTATTCTTACATTTTTGAATAAATCAAGATTTAAAAAATTGACTTCTTACGTAAAATTAAAACTAAGTTAAATTTATTTTTTTTATTTTTTATTTTATAATAAATGAGTATAACAACTAATTCATTGAAATCTTTAAAGTTCACTAATTCAGAATTAGAAAATATTTTAGAAAATTTTGGAGACGGTTCTTATCCAACATATATGCAGAATGTGAAAGAGTTTTCCAGATTGTTGAATGAATTTAAATATAACGGACCAATTACTAAAAAGGCTATAATGAGATATTTATATCCCAAAAAAGTTGAAAAACAGGAGAATATTCCTCTTTATGGTCCAGAGGACCTGGGCTCAGAGAGCCTTGAAACACCTCCTGAATATTTTGAAGAAAAAATTAAACAAGATGAATATTATAACGATGAGATTGAGAAATTGGAACAATTAAGAAATGAAATAGATGAAAGAATTAAGGAATTGAGAAATGCTGAGAATGAAGTAGAGGGTTTAATGAATATCCCAGCTTCAGAATCAGAAGTTCAAAAATCACATGAGGAAAGATATAAAAATTACTTTTTGGAATCTACTAAAAATTTATTAGATGGTGATATTGACGAAACACTTTCAGAAGAAGGCACAAAATTTATTCATAAACATAAGTTACAATTTATTGACGATGGAGATTATCCATGTATATTACTTTCACCTCCTCTTGATTCTGAAAAATTCAAAAAAGCACTGAAAAATGTAACATATGCAACAATACGATTAAGAAAGAAGACCATGATATTTACACAAATTATTATTTAAATAAATGTACAGGTGTTGATAAAGTTTTTGATTTGTTAGATAAAATATCAAAAGAAACAATTGGAATATAAAATTTTATGTGATTGTGGTTTCATTATTGAAGATACCAATAATGTTTCATATGAAAGAACAGCACCGAAGGAAGACGAAGTTGAAAGGTCTATACCATTCGTTATTAAGAACATAAAAGATATGAAAACTTATAAACATTATATTTATTCATTTATTTCAGAAAAAATGGAAGCAACCCATAAAACATCATCTCATCATTTTATAGCTATTCATACATTCCTTTTCAAAGTTGTGAAATTAAATAAGACAGGAATTAGATTTAATGTATCAGGGTACGCATTCTTGAGTAAATTAAAATGTATTCGTCACGTCGCAGATGATAAAAATTTATGTGTTCTTAATTCATTTTATGGACTTTAGCCCTGGACTTTAAAAAAAATAAACTTTATTTTTATTTATTTTTTAATTTTTATTCTTACATAAATGAATAAAAATGGAACAGCTAAAATGAATGATAATCAAATAAGAGCCGAAGGTAGAAGGTTATTTAAACGCTTCTATAACATTCCTGATGGTGTTAATCCTAAAACTCGTAGAAGTTATTTAAATGAAGCCATAGATGTATATGAAGGATTTGACATTTCATCAGAAAGCGAGAGGTTAGCAAGAATGTTAAACGTTAATATTGATTTTTATTATTGTGACCCTCAACCAGAAGACGTAGACATTAACAAGGTAGACTTTCCATTAGTGGAATCAATAATGATAGATCCAGAATTTGAAACAGTAAATATTTTATTAACACAGAGTCCATGTGGAAAACTTCACGCTGACAGAATTACAGACGTTGAAGCACTCACAGGATATAAAGTTTGCCCCTTTTGCAAAGAAGAAGTTATTCTATCCGTGATGATCCAGAAAGGAAAAACCAAAGAAGATTTTTAAAACATTGTGAGAAATGTAAAGAAAATAATGGAAGATTAATTCAAGACGTTCAATTGCAAAACACACAACAACCATATGCACCACATATCACGAAACAGAAGATATATCAATGGCTATTAGCACATAATTTGCAGGAATATTATAAACCAACAAGATATTATATTACTTTTGACTTCGAAACATTAGAGACTAAAGAAGAATTCAACTTTCTGAATGTGCAACTTTGAACGCTTACTTAAAACCATTTATGGTATCATCAACTGTCAAAATAAAGCCGCAAAGCGGCGAGGACGTAGACCGTGATAAAACATTTACGAGGAATTTTTGCTTAACATCAAGTGATTCGTTCATCTCTGATTGGATTGAGTTTTTATTTTCAACCTGTTCATTAGTTGCTAAATCAAATATTGAACAATATGAAGAATTAATGAATACATTAAATGAAAAACAGAAGGAAGCAATGAAAGAGCTTTTAGATGAAGAATTTAATAAAGTGAATATCATTGGTTTTAATTCGGGAAAGTTTGATTTAAATTTAATTCTTCGTGATTTAAATACTGCAAAATGGAAGATAAAATCAATGCTGGGTTCTTCTTCTCAATTTAAGCAAGTCATAGTAAAGAAAACAAACTGTCCATATGAATTAAGATTTATTGACATCAGAAATTATATAGCGGGTGGAACATTAGACCAATTCACTCAAGATTTCGGAAACAATAAATCACGTGTTAAATCCTTTTTCCCTTATCAATTCATCACATGGGAGAATTACGAAGAAAATTATATAAAAAGGAACCATTCACTCAAGATTCATTTTATTCAGCATTAACACAAGAAACAATATCCGATTCAGATTATCAAATATATCTCAATGATGCTAAAAATTTTGAGAATAGATTAGAATATTTTATTCATTATTGCAATAAAGACGTTGAAATTATGATTGACCCAATTGATAAAATTATCGAAGAAACATTTGTTTATAAAATTGACATGCTTCATAATCTTTCTTTATCATCGAATGCATCAATGATTCGTTACGCGTTAGCATATAAGAACTTCAATCCTAACGAAACATATCCAGAAGAAGAAAATGTGGAATCAAGTTTTGAATTAACAAAAAGTATTGGAAATATAAAATTGAATCATATAAGAAACAAGATGAAAAGCGAAAGAGATACTAAAAACAATGTTTCAATGGATGACTATCAATACTATCACGATTTAATCCTTTCATCTAAATGCAAAATGTGTGGTAAAGCGTTTACATATGCAAATAAACCAACATTGGATAGAATCGATAATGAAAAACCACATACCAAAGAAAATTGTCAGTTAATGTGTTGTTATTGCAATGTCGTAAAATCAAATAAAGATGAAGATGTTCAACGTTTAAGAATCAATTTAAGAAATTATGCATTAAAAAATAATTTACCAATGACTTTAGATTCAGTTGAAGCTTATCACATTCTCCGTAATGGAATTACTGGTGGTCTATCAAATGTTCAACATCGTGTTAATCTTAAAGGAATCACGCACATTAATAAACTTTCATATAATCCAGAAACTAAAACTGTATCAAATGAGGACACCACCAACATTATGACTCATTTCGTTGGAGTTGACTTTAATTCATTATATCCTTCATCATTTTCATCTAATCCTCATGATTTCATTCAATATACTGACCATAAAATGTATATGCCGGGAAGATTGAATGGTGTTATCATTTGTGATACAGCAACAAAGAAAGCAAAAGCACTGGGAATAATTAAGAAGAAAAATACTTTATTCGTGGCTGAAGTAAAGGGTCACATTGATGAAAAATACATTAATGATTACATAAACTTTTTACCGATAATAAGAAACTTAGATATTATCACAGATGAAAAAACAATTGGCAGTTTTATGTATAATTACATGAAATCAAACAATCTACCAGTTGACCAGAAACAGAGAAAATTAACTCAGTTAGCATCAACACACAACCAATATCAACCATTTTCTTCTTATTATCTTTGGTATCTAATAGACAGATTTCATTTTATCATTGATGATATTCAATCAATTTTAACATTTACTAAAAACACTTGTTTTAATGAATTTGCGAACGAATTTATGAACGAAAGACAAAAGGCTGAATTAGAAGGAAATAAAGGAAAAAGTTTATTTTGCAAGATTTCACTTAATGGATCATATGGTTACGATGCAATGAATACACAAAATTACGCAAAGACTAAAATAATGAATGCACAGAAGTCACGCGTTGCATGTATGTCAAATAAGTTTAAAAACATAAGAGAAATAGGAGAGATACATATCAAGTGATGCTTAAAGATAGATTTTATAGATGTGATACATGTTTACAAGAGGCATTCTTCACTTTAGATAATGCTAAATACTGGTATTTGGTTTTCATTTATGATTTTATGTATAAATGCATGATGTTAATCGTTTTCATTTCATTGAAGGTGATACTGATTCATCTTATTGGGCAATCGCTGGCGACCCAAATCTTCCTAACACTCAAGCATTTCAAGCAATTGTTACCGATAAACAATTTTATGATAAAAACATTTTCAAATTCGCACCTTTTGATTTCTTCTGTTTTGATGAGAAATTTAAACCTAAATTAAAGAATAAAGCTGAAGAAAAAGCACATGAGAAGAAGTTATTGGGTTTAGCAATTGAGAAACAAGGTGATAACATGGTTGCTTTATGTCCTAAGTGTTATACATCATTCAACGGTTCAATTGATGGAAGTGATTTTAAAAAGATTGCACAAAAAATGAAAGGTGTTAGTTTACGACAAAATAAACAATTAACACCTAAAAATTATTTGGATATAATAAATGATAAATTGATATTTGATGGTCAGAATATTAATTTACAACTTAAAAATGGGTCAATGACTCGCTTAACAATTGGTAAGACTGCATTAACAGGAGCACACACTAAGGCTGTATGTTGTGAAAATGGATGTTGTATGCCATTTATTTAATAAAATACCACAGAAGAGACAAAAGGAACCGTTAATGATGGCTTTGATACTATGATTCAAAGAGGCGGGCACCCTTAAAACATTGATTTTATTTTTATATAAATGGATAACACAGATTTAAAAATTTTAATTGCTGATTTAGTACTTAATCAAAAATTTCTTAGTTATTACGATTTAAAAGCATATCTCCAAAAATATAATAATAATATAACGGGTGATGATATGGAATATTATTATCCATATTATAAAAATGAAATTTTGAAATATCATAATAAAATAATTTCTGAAATTAAAGACAAAATTAAAAATAATGAATATTCAAAGGGAAAAACTAAATCACAACTTAAACAGTTGAAAGATTTCAAAAATAAAGTATTAACAGAAGAAGATATTGATGAATGATATAAATTATATAATCCTGAGCCACAAAAACCAAAGGAACAAAAACAAATGGTGCAAAACGCCCAGGTTCTTCAGACCATAAATGATGCACAAGCTTTAATTTATGATTCATTAGTTAAACCATATTCAGCCCGACTTTTAAATGAAGATCAACTTTTGGAATTCATCCTTCAACATAAACTCGAAGCGGGAAAGTATATCAAACCTTTATATACAGCATATTTAAAACAAATGAATAGAATACATCCAGAATTAATGAAGGAAGGAATGAAATCCAAAATCAAAGCAGATAAAATTAAACCACTTGCAACACCAAAACCTCCAACGACAGTACCGCCTCCTCCTTCAGTTAATCCTTCATCATTCACTTTATTATATCCATTTCAAACATTAAAGAAGCAAAAAGATTTTAAAAAGGATTTCAAGATATTAAATAAACCAATTGACCCAAAAATTCAACCATTAAAGGAAAAATTTAGTCGCCCCTCATTTGCACCATATCCATATTCATACGAAATTGATCATTTAGAATATTCAAAAGGAAACGTTACTTATTTATTTGCCATTAACATTAACACTAGATATTTATATTGCATTCCAGTGAAAGGGAAAACAGAACAGGAAACAAGAAGAGCTATTCAATACTTACTAGATCATGAAAGAGTAGATAATATAAGGGGTGATGGTGATAAAGGATTTCAGGCAGCTATGGCTCATTATTTCCCACAAATTAATTTTTACTTTTCATCCTCTCCATATACGTTTCATAATAAAATAGTTGATGCGGTAATGAGAACTCTTAGAGATGCGTTAGGGGTTAACGGTCAGATATACTGGGATGGAAATCATGACTTCATCATACAGCAGTTAGTATATTATTACAATAATACATGGCATAGAACTATAAACATGAAACCGGTGGAAATGAAAAATGATATTTCAAAAGAATGGGAATATATTAGAAAGCAAATGGAAAAGTTAAATGATGTTAAACGTGAACAAATTAATTCGGGGCTCATGAATTTTAAACAAGGGGATAAAGTTTTGATTCATCTCGATTATGGAAAAACTGATAAATCAATGACAAAAAGAAGACGAAGATTTGACACAATAGCTGAATTTGTTAGATATATTAACGGCAATGCATTAGTTGAAGTTGACAATAAATTAATAGAAATTCCGATTTATTTTATTACTCCATTATATTTAAATAATATTTAATTTTTTTTATTTCGTAAGAAATGAGTGACAACAAAGCAGTCAAGAGTCCAGACGATGAATATAAAAAGAAACTAAACAGAATTAAATCAAAAATATGCTATTACAAAAAGAAGCCGCAATGCGGTGGGGTTGAAAACGATAAAGAAATAATCGAAAAATTAGAAACTTACCGTTCAATCATTAAACTGAGTGAAGCAAAAATAAAAGAATTTAATAGAATAAATAAATTGATTGGAAGAGATGAATTTAATAAAGATGAATTTTTAAACTCAATCCAAATTTAATTTTTATTCCTCTTCGACAACGTCTCTCTTTCCATCATTACTGCATAACCACATTTTCTCAGTTTTAGTGGTTTGTTATTTTTAGCAAGTTCTCGCATCATTTTTATCGTTTCCTCCCTTGTTATGATTCGTGGTAAATTTTGAGCTTGTGGGGTATCCATTTATGATAAAAATAAAAATTTAAATTATGCCGTTCTAAAGTTTGTGACAACATGACATTTAGACAACAACACAGGTCATTCAATAATTAATTATTTTTGAAGAACTGAAGGTGTCACCAGGTCACCAGGTAATTTAACTCATGACATTTTGACAACACAGGAGGAAGGCAGTTATGAATTATTTTTGAAGAACTGAAGGTGTCACCATATCACCATGTGTCACCAGGTCATTTAACTTCTCTGAAAAAATGAGACAACATGACATTTAGACAACATCACAGGAGAAAGGCAGTTATGAATTATTTTTGAAGAACTGAAGGTGTCACCAGGTCACCATGTCACCGGGTTATTTAACTTCTTTTAAAAAATGAGACAACATGACATTTTGACAACAACACAGGAGGAAGGTAGTTATGACTTATTTTTGAAGAACTGAAGGTGTCACCATGTCACCAGGTAATTTAACTCATGACATTTTGACAACACAGGAGGAAGGCAGTTATGAATTATTTTTGAAGAACTGAAGGTGTCACCAGGTCACCATGTCACCGGGTTATTTAACTTCTTTTAAAAAATGAGACAACATGACATTTTGACAACACAGGTACGAAAAGAGGAAGGCAAAAATAAATTCCAATCATACTTTATAAAGCTTCATTTACAGGTATTTCATCGTCAGTAAATGAATCCTCATTATCGTTTGGTTCAACCTGTTTATATAATCCTTTCATTTCTTCTTTCAAAACATAACACCATGTTTGTTTACCATCTATTCTTACCTGTTTCCTATCACATTTATCCTTAATGCTCATTTGGAAATTCTTGTCTTTCATGTCTGATGGTTTGCAGAATAGAGCATTTTTACACGTCATACCTGCACACAATTCATCATAATGTGTATTTATCCATACATCTAAAGGATTTGTTGATAATTCTATTAAATCTTGTTTGGCTTCAGTCATCGGTATGATTCGTACATTAAATGATGAAAGGTCGTATTGATAAAATATGTTAAAAGGTTATCATAAAATTCCTTTGTGCATGAATCCATTAAATTCTTGAAGTAATCAAATTGACCCTTAATTTACCATTAACCTTAAAACTACGTATCTTCTGTCTCCAACTTCAATTTTGACAGGGTAAACGTTATTAGTTACGAAAATGAAGTTTGCAACATTCTGAGCAGTTCTTCTGGGTTGATTCTTTTCATTAATTCTAATCTCATTATCCGTTATAATTGATTTCAAAGCGTTGAAGTTTGCGAGTCTGTCTTCACCTACATTCTTGAGTTCATTAAGTACAAGAAACATTTTATTTTCAACTACTGAGTTGAAATTACCCGTTAGCTCACTTATTTCAGTAATGTTTTTACATGAATAACCAGCGAGAAGTTCAGAAATAATGTCTGTAAATCTGTTTTTACCTGTTCCCTGAAGTCCTTTCAAAATAATTGCTGTTTCATTCTTGATTCCAGGATGTTGAATCATTGATGCAATCCAGCCGAGAAGGTATTTATATACTTCATCGTTATTATCACAAATGGCTTCTTTAATGAAATTCATAAACATCTCAATTTTTGAGTAATCAGGCTTTTCAAGAATGTTGTATTTATAACCCTGAAACGTTGAGAAAACATCTGGAGAATCAGATTTAAAGCAAACACCCTTAACGGTTAATGAAGACAATTGATTTAGTAGTACATCCCATGCTGTTATGGTTTTACCTTCTTCTTTAAATAATTTAATCATTTTGAGTGACTCTTTCATGTTTGATTGAAGAACGAATGATATTTGATTCATTTTGTCGTGTATGTTGTAATCTTTCTGAATGAAGTATTTATTTCCACAATCTACAAAACGGATTACACGTGATAAATCCTCAATTACTTCAGAACTGTTTTTATACTGATGATTTTCAGCCTTGCGTCTAATATCTGTTATCAAAAACGAGTCATCAAGTTTGATATCAAATGTTATTTTTGGCTTACGTAATAAAGGTAAAACATATTCATCATAATATTCCTTTTGATAAAGTTTTAGAATCTTCACCAAAACAAATGGAGAAGTCATTAAATGTGCATATCTACTACGTGCTTTTTCAAAATTACTTTTTGCATTTTCTGTTAAACTGCAGAAGTTATAAACGTTATCGTATGCTTCATTAATTAAATGATTAGGTAACGAATTAATTGCTTGAAACAGTGTGAATAATGTAACTTCTTTTTCTAAATTCATGTTTCCACCGTCATTATGTACTTCAAAATCACAGATGCCATCAACTATGCTCTGGGCAAGTTTATCGTCAATGTTTACATCTTTGTTTTCATTCATTATACTCTTTATTTCTTCGTTCTTCTGTTCAACTCTTACCTTAATATTCAAATCATTTAATATATCGTTTACTGTTCTGGTTAATGTTGAATCATAACTTCCACGAATGAATGAGTATGTATTGATTGGTTCTGTTGCATTCTTGCGAACTCTTGATTCAGCCATAACCACTAATGAACGCTTTGAATCATCAATAGAAGTCATTATGTCAATATCATAATCATTGCAGGAATAACATTTAATCATTCTGTTCGAAACTGCATAGAAGAAATTAGTGTTGCAATAAATGTGAAGACCTCCTGAAGCGGTTTTAACGATAACATCTTTATCCGAAAGTTTTGATAAAATGTCTTTTCTAACTGTTTCTTTAAGTTCATCATTGTATGATTTATTGATATCAACATCTATAATCGTTAAATTTGAAATTTTATTTACTAATAAAGCTGTACCAGTTTTCCTTCCTCTTCCTCCATCATGTTTGAGGTAGTTATGTAAATCAATCTTGTTTTCACCAATTCTTTCGTTGAGGGTTTTAGTTTCTGCCACAACTAATTCCTCAGCTAATGAATCAATAACTTGTTCATCAGAAACGATATAGTTGTTGTTGTTGTTGTTTGTTGCTGTCATTTATATAGGAATAAAAAAAAATAAAAATAATTTTAAAACTAACTTTATTTTTGGGCTGCATCAAATTTTCGTAAATGTTGTCAAAATGTCATGTTGTCACATTTTTTCAGAGAAGTTAAATGACCTGGTGACACATGGTGACCTGGTGACACCTTCAGTTCTTCAAAAATAATTCATAACTGCCTTCCTCCAGTGTTGTTGTCAAAATGTCATGTTGTCTCATTTTTTCAGAGAAGTTAAATGACCTGGTGACACATGGTGACCTGGTGACACCCTCAGTTCTTCAAAAATAATTAATTATTGAATGACCTGAAACCATTAACGTAACCATTAACGTAAACATATATTTTTGGTTGTTTATGATAAAAATAAATGATTCATTTACTCACAATATTTTTGTACAAAACGTCCCCAAACTTTTAACTTCTTTTCTGCAGCTTCAAATGCTATCTTAGTGAGTTCATATTCTCTAAATTCTCTCTTTAAATCTTCTTGTTCCCATTGGTCTAGTTCGTATGAAGAATCTTTATAACCATAACATATCTCACGTTCATGTTCTAATTGTTTTTCGCACATTTTTCTAACTTCTTCTTCAAACAAATGTTTAGCATTCTCTACTGTATCTTCGAGTTCTTCTTCATCTAATTTCTCATGAACTTTCTTGTCTATGGAGTCCATAATATCTTTGACATAAAATGCATACTTTACTGAGCACCACTCAGCAACAAAATGAACGAGGTCAGGATGTATGTAAATACCTTTGAATTCATTTATAACACCCTTAGTAAGCTCATAAAATGCTTGTTTTGAGGTTGAGCCACTTTTGGCTTGACCGCATTCGTTCATCCAAAACTCAAGAATTTCCTGCATTTTAGTACTATTGAGAAATCTGTTTAAATGGTTTAACCTTCCCACTTCTCTTGCCATCTTTGTTGCATTAATGTAACCATCCTTGTCTCTACGTAAGACTTCAATACCATTATAAGTGCCTTTTGTGAATGTTTCGCCATTAGATTTGTTCGTGAATGTTTTTGCTTCGACTGACATTTCTGTTCTTACATACAAAATAAAAAAATAAAAATAATTTTAAAACTAACTTTATTTTTGGACTGCATCAAATTTTCGTAAATGTTGTCAAAATGTCATGTTGTCTCATTTTTTCAGAGAAGTTAATTAATTATTGAATAACCTGAAACCATTAACGTAAACATTAACGTAAACATTCACGATAAAATATATTTCCTGGACTGTTGTCAAAATGTCATGTTGTCTCATTTTTTCAGAGAAGTTAATTAACCTGGTGACACATGGTGACCTGGTGACACCCTCAGTTCTTCAAAAATAATTAATTATTGAATGACCTGAAACCATTAACGTAAACATTAACGATAAAATATATTTCTGCAGTTCATCCATTACTTCATTACCTAATTAATTACAGACATAAAATATATTTAGTTCATTCAATAAACTCTATACCATACGAATATAGTCATAAATGGTGGCATATAATCTTTACCCAAGCCTGTTGGATTTGTTGTGAAAGTATGGACATGATTTCCTCCTGGTTCAGTTTGTCGAAAAGTCTTTTTTGTTGAATGGTTATAATCTGGAGATAAAACATCATAACCGGCTTCATAGTCTGAGTTGTATAATGGGTGGTCTCTTAATGAGTGGCTATGGTCGCCAGAAAAGTTTGTAGTTCCCGTATGAGTGTGCGGTGGAAGGTTTGCTTCTTTAATTTTCTTCGAACCTCCTGCCGTCTTTGAATATCTAGCACAGTATAAGAATTTATCTACAATCTGCTTCCATTCACCAAAACCTAAAACTGTTGCGGGATTTGTTGAGTTCATTGACGTATAAATAGAACCAACAGGATATAATGTTTGAAGTATTTCATTTTTCATGCTTGTAATCACATCATTTACTTCCGACTTCTTTGCATAATTTTCATCAACATATGTTTTATCCGCTTTAAGGTCTAAACATCCTGAAACCCATCCTGTATCAGCTTTAGTTTTTAAAATCTTTGATGTCCATTCATGATACCATTCAACCATTTCTTTAATTTCATTATCTTTTTCATCCACATATTCCTTATCCACCTTCTTCATTAACTCACTATCCACATATTCCTTATCTGCTTTCTTATTTAACTCATCGTTAACATATTCCTTATCCGCTTTAAGGTCTAAACATCCTGAAACCCATCCTGTATCAGCTTTAGTTTTTAAAATCTTTGATGTCCATTCATGATACCATTCAACCATTTCTTTAATTTCATTATCTTTTTCATCCACATATTCCTTATCCACCTTCTTCATTAACTCACTATCCACATATTCCTTATCTGCTTTCTTCATTATGTCATTTAGGAAACCCTCTATGAATTCCTCATTTAAATTAAATCTTCCAATCTTCAAAACTTTAGAAAATGCATTTAATGCGTAATATCTTTTTCTTCTGGTGGAATTGATGTTATATCATCCGTTATTCCTTTAATTTTTGAATTCATAAATAAAATTTCTTTTATATTTGATATCACTGCACCACCTTGCAAACGAATTCGAAATGGTCATTTTTCAATACTATCTCCAAATCTCCATATTTCAACCTTTGCGTTTGTTCTGCCGTCTTTGAATTATATGCATATATGGCGTATGTAATGGTCTGAGGGACCTGGGTGCTTTGTGCCTTAAGTTGCTGTGGTTGCTGTTGTTTAATCATTTATTATGATTTAAAAATAAATATTTAATCTGTTATCTCATCACCTATTTTTTCTATTTGAAATTGCCATAATATTTCATTCATGAATTCTAAATCACAATCAAATAGGTCAGTTATCTAAATTTAATATTTGATAAATCTTTTGAATGAAGAATAAATGAATTCCCGGATAATTGAAACGGATATGATAAAGAAAATGTGTTTAAGTTGATGGATAAAATGTTTTGTATTGATGGGTAAGAGTTAGGGTCTAATGTTTGATGTGAAAATCTCATTGG